AAAGCGAGAAATCACCCCCCAGAGAGGATGGTCACGCCGCAATCCCTTCTCCTCCATTCTCCTCTCGGGATCTTGGGCACGCACGCACATGCGCCCGTCGTGAGTTTTAAGCCACCGGGTCCAGGATGTGAACCGTAGTTGACTACGTGGGAGTCCAGCGACATAGCCATTACACTAACTGCTGGTTCCTGAGTGTTTTTATATAGGGCTAGAACATTCCTACACGTCAGGCTGGCCTTTCTGGTCTCAGCTAAAGCCCTGGAGAGTTCGGCCAGCTCTCACTTCGGCTGTCAGAATGGAAGCACCTCCCAGTACTGCGTCCACAGTCTCCCAGTGCCTCCTGGACCCCGCCCTGCACACGCAGCTCTGGATTGGCTAAAGAATCCGTGAGCTCTCATGCCGACCTGCGGACCTCCTTTTTCACCCAGCTCCCTCTCCGCGATGCCTCCTGTGACACAAATCCCAGCTGCCTCTGAGCTCCACACTCCCGTCTGTCTCCCCCACCCACTCTGCTTGAGTTCTGCTTTTCCTGAGCCGTAGTTTGAGAAGTGTCAAATCCAGGGTGAACATGGGGCTTATTTTGCGTGTTTCCCGTCTCCCAAGGGCCACAGCCCTATGCTGGCTGTTATCCAGTGTCTGAAAATAATTGCTTAATAGATTTTGTTCACTTTTATCTTTCCACTAGAGAAGATAAATACGATACCTGGCTCTCATTCGTGGCCAGAACTGGAAGCTGAGCATGGCTTTAACATCACACAGACGTAGGTCTGAACCCTGACCCTGCCGCTTACTGGCTCTGTGAGCTAGGAGAGGTTACTTCACCTTTTTCTGTCTCGACTTCCTTATCTAAAAAGCAGCAGAGTGTGGCGAGGACTGAATAATACAGAGCGTCCCTGGCATGGTGCTTGGCAAACGGAAAAGCCTCCATAACCATCAGCCTTTACGCTAATGTTTCCCTTAGCTGGTGAAGCTGCCAGCTGTGGGTAAAGCCAGTGCTATCATTTACGTAGTGAATTAAGCGAGTCATTAAGGAACAGCTCTCTGGTGTTGGTAGGGTTTTTTTTAAATAAAATGATTTATTTAACTTATGTTTATCTTTTAATTTGACGAGAGAGAGAGGAAAAACACTGTCTGCTCCTGGATTCAAACCATAGTCGGGTCGGAAACCAACAGTTAGCATAATGGCTATGTTGCTGGACTCCCACGTAGTCGACCGTGGTTCGCATCCCGGACCTGGTGGCTTAAATCTCACGTCGGGCACGTGTGCGTGCGTGCCCAAGATCCCGAGAGGAGAATGGAGGAGAAGGGATTGCGATGTGACCATCCCCCCTGGGGGGTGATTTCTCACTTTCTGTCTCTATGTCTCTCTCTGTCTGGCGAGCGCACGTGCCCTATAGCAAAAACCTCTCCAAAACAAAACAAAACCATAGTTGGGTCATATGGGAGTCCAGCATC